TCATGAATATCATTGAGTATTGGATAATTGGGATATAAGTAGGATATAATAGACTGGTGAATTAACATAGACCCTGAAAATAACCTAGTTTTAATGGAAACTATTCTTCCGACCCCTATCTGCCAGGGTCTATGTTAATTTACCAGAGGGCAATTGGGAGATCATGGGAATTTAAGGGCTAATAGAAGATCCATGGAAGATTCATGATACATTAATGATTATTCACGGGTAACTATGGATTTACCCTCCATTAATAAAACGTGGCAGGCTGGAAAATCCACTTGAAATCCGGGATTTACAGTATACACTACAGTATAAATTGGGAAATTATTTTCGTTGCCACATTTGATTACCAGATGGTATATATGATATATATATATATATAAATATACTCGTATTTATTTACAACTGGGACATCCTACAAATCATGGGAATGTAAAAAAGGTAATTCAATGGGCATACAATGGGATGTGTCCAACTTTTCCATTGGTTGATCTATGGGTGTACCAAACCTGCCCGTCTATTTTATCAAGAGGACATGATTGATGCATTGATGCAAATTGTATAGTATAGTGTTGATGTCATACCCACATGTTTGATAACATAACAAGTGTAGTTCATACCCACATATGGTGCCATATGTTATTACCCACATATAATGTTTTTTTGTTTAATAACATATGGCCCTGGCACCATATGTGGATATGGCTAGCATTGTTGTTGCAACTCACAAAAAAAATGAAACCAGTGGGAAAATTTAATGTTACGGATGTATGCTCCAGATATATATCCAAATACAGAGGGCAATATAGGGGTTTAAAAAAAAAAATGTGAAAATCCAAGTAGTTTGTGGCTGAATAATTTTCCTATACTATATATATATATATGTATAGATAGACAAATACATACATATATATATATAGAAGTATGTATTGGTATGGCTAGTAATGTGTTTTTATTTCTGGGGTTTTTCCAAGTCATTGGGCAAATGGAGTATGTTTTGTAGCAAGTTTATGGCATTAAGTTTGTCACACATGAAGTTGCAGATCAATTTTATTCATCCTCAACATTTGGCTGGTTTTCAGATCCTAGCAGCAGGGAAATCCGTTGTTTTCTAAAGCTAAATGATCCACGAATGCGTCGAGGGTTGGTTGATTTGGCTAGGCATTCACATCCAATTCACATCCATAAAAATACGAAATATTGGAATGTGAATGGGAAACCCGAAAATACCATCCATTATTATTGGAAAATACCATTCACATCCATATATCTAACATAGGATCGAATCTATACATGTGTGAGTATGATAAGCATCGTATGTTCTGCTTATGATTTATAATATTGCAGATTGGATACCCAAGAATTGTATCGTTGATGTCGAATGTGGCACAGTACTGCGACAAAGCTAATTTGGAGACCTCCGTTGATGTTTAGTGTGGCAATCGCGGAAGCATTCTGTTGAAGGTTCCGTGATATCGTACCCTTTGGCTGTCACGCTATAGGTCGTCGAAGCTCTGAGAGCGTAGCCCGATGCCGTATGTGCTTCCATGAGAAGGAATGGAAGGAGATGTTGCACATTTAGAAGACGGAAAAAAAGTTGCTGCAACATACTAACTGACTACCGTGGCCGTTCATTCGACATAGCAAACTTGTCCGAAAATCAAAGACTTTTTAATTGAAAGCATCCAAAGCACCTGATATGCTGTAAGAAGGGCCAATTTGACACCAAGTACGTAGGCCATAGACAGCTAGTTATGACTTGTGAATGTTGCAGTTTTTGGCTTCCCCACCTTAGATTGACAAAACGACGGGGGGAGCCACCATCTCCGCACGCGTTTTGCGTAGGAACCTTGGGCATGCGCATCGCGCGCGTGCTGTGTAGTCAAGATTGAGCTTTTGTGTTGGAGGGATTCTTTTTTTCAGCCGAAGGTCAGCAACTTTCAAGACCTGACGCGCCGCGGGCTAGAAAGCATACAGGCCATTGCGGTTTGAACCTTAGCTCTAAATTTACCCTTGTGTGTAAAATGTATGTGGCTTCCAAAAGGTTACACGAGCTGAAGAGTTATATGTCTTCTGGACTGTTACGATCTGCTGCGTGCGAGTGAAGTTGACGCAGGAATGAATTAGGTTCAGCAAAGTAGGGTTTTGCGTGTCTAATGGATGCTCGCCTCACTGAGGCAAAACCAAGTTTGAACCAATCTGAGTAGTGTGGCTCCAAAGTTCGGTTCTCAAAAAGCATCTGAACATACGGCTCCCAAGCTTAGACAGATGAAAGTACAAAGGGAGGCTACAAATGCGACACGTGCGTGTGACGCGCGAACCTTGGGTTGGCTAGATGTATTTTATTCAGTTTTATTTTTTGTGGAGTTAAGTGTGGGTCAAATTTGAGGCAGTCTGACGCAAAGACAGCTGAACGTCTACATCGTTGTACGCACCTTACGATTTCCGATAACCCAACCTTGTTTGCATCAGATCAATGTGGTTTGTTTCCCCAAAGGTGGTGTCTGCTCCGTAGCAGACGGGGCCAGTCAACTGGTTCACGTGCAAAGCGCAAGCACCGACCTTACCCTAACAAAATCATCAGTCTTGCATTTCACAAGATAGATTTTCACTAAGGTGATGAAAAGAGGCTGTAATGGTGAGCCAGAATCACCAAAAGGCCCGGGTGAGCCATAATCGCCCCCAGGCCCCGGCGAGCCACAATCGCCCCCAGGCCCCGGCGAGCCACAATCGCCCCCAGGCCCCGGCGAGCCACAATCGCCCCCAGGCCCCGGCGAGCCACAATCGCCCCCAGGCCCCGGCGAGCCACAATCGCCCCCAGGCCCCGGCGAGCCATAATCGTCCAGAAGCATCATTGCAACTCATTCCCCAGCACACAAAACTACATCAATTCGCGTTTAGGTCCATGTCCGATACAAAGGAGAAACATGTTGATTCTAGCGCATTAGGTTGTACCCAATGTCGTCGGGTTCGGTATGCTAAAGCATGCACAGGGTTGACTACTGTCCTTTCTCGTTATCAAGAGTGGGCAGTGCCTTTCTTAAAGCTTTATTCTCGCTACCAAGTGACGCTGCAAAATGAAATGGTTGCAAAGGTGTCCAAAATAGGAATGCAGTTCCAACAGTTTCTGGCGCTCACTGATGTAGCTTATTTTCGTGCTGCATGCCGTTTCAAAATTTCTATAAATCCATGCGCCTGTCACTTGTGTACATGCATGTCAGTGGCCCAAAAAAATCCTACGAGGGCTTCGCATAAAATTGTTGACCAGCCAACCCACAGCCGCAGCCTCAAAGGAAAAGAACAAGGCAGCAAAAACAAAACATGCTGGATAAAAGCAAGGCATCACCAGTAGCACTTGTGGCATGCAAGGTCCGCACAGGCATTCTTTGACAATACACTCAGTCGAAAAATGCCATGGAACTTATGAATTGCGTAAGCGTAGCCACAAAGGTATGCCTGAAGCTGTGTCCACCGACATATATGCCAAAAGTCATAGTAAACGACAACAAAAGAAATGCAAGGCTGTGCTAGTCGAAGCTTGCGCCCACTGTAAAAACAACACCAGCATCAAGGAAACGCACACCCAGTATTTGAAATGCGTCAACCACACCAAGTACAAGAATGGTATACACTATCATGCCGATGATGCCAGTCCTCTTCGTGGTCGATGTATTGGGGGCAGACCGGCTCCAGTTTGGACTTCAATTTCTTCTACTTCTCCGTCTTCTTTTTCTATTTTATCTACCCCAAGCGCGCCAGTTTGCTTCTTGTGTTCGTGCTGTGCTCCTGACTATGTGCCATTTGCTTGTCAGAAAATATATTCTGCGAAGTGTTCCGGCTGCAAGCGCGCTAACTGCAATCAATGTGGAAACTGGGAGGGCAGCTCATTCTTTTGCAAGTGGTGCTTCGACGAAGACATAACGCCATCTGTAGAAGCCATGCAGTCATGGAAAGCTGCGCAACAAACATGTAAAGCCATACAACCTATAAGAACGAAGATTTTGCCATGTCGCTGGGTGGGGCATGCACGCAAAGCACGCGCCCAGAGAATCTGGAGGAGTCTGCGCTCGATAGTCAATGGCAAGTTAGGTACTCAGAATCTAGCCCCAAGTAGAAGGAAGACAAAGGACAATGTGGAGCATGTGAGTTCATGGAGTTGTTTGCAACTCAAAACAGGCAAGAAGGATGCGGAAACTAGAAAGTGTTGGAGTACAACAAGACCCAATACCCATATGAAACCTGTCCGATTTCGAGGAGGTGGAGCAGAAACATTACAGTCTCATGAACATGAAGCTTGGAAAGGCAGCAACCAAAAAAAGCAACCACGACAACAAAGGGAACATGTCAAGAAGACTAGCTTTTGTGCAATCACCCGCACGTGGCAAAGTAGGACAATCAAACAGGTAGAGCAATCACATAGCTCAACATACACTAATCGAAACTTAGTTTTTAGGTTGAAGATGTGTAAGACACAATGCGAAGGTGCCAGCTGTGTTTCTTCATTACGGCAGCACACTTTGTACCATCAGCCACTTGTGTCTCCCCAGCTGCTGGGGTTGGCGGATCATTTGCATGGGAGGATTCAATTCTTGCAGCGTCGTTTTTCGCAAACTGTAGAGACACTTCCCGCAGAAAAGGTAGAGTCAAGAATGGCTGCGCGATTTCAAGGAGGCGGCGCAGAACAATTGCAGTGTTTCATGTGTTTAGCATATAAAAGCGTATATGTCCCAAAACAATTGAGTGATGAGTATGTGTCACACTGCTACACCTGTGGTCGCGGAGCGTGCAATAGCCACGGATCTTGGGAAGTCGGGCACTTCCACTGTGCACTTTGCCATGCAACTGACGATGGTTTATTGGCGGAGGTAAAGGACACTTTTGCAGTAAGATGTCTCAGCAAAACGTTTCAGAACCAAGGGTTGCTACATACGAATGAGGAAGCATTCAACGATTTAATGCTGACTTTGTGCACGGGAGGAATAAACCGTCCAAGAGGAATGGGAAACTATGACGAACAAGGCCTGAAGGTGCAGCCACAGGAAGCAGCAGACGTAGAACTTCCTTGGGACGACGCACGGCAGCTGGTAGAAGCACTCGTACTGTCTCGAGTTGACACACCAGATAACGCAGTAAAGGTCCTTGGACAGAGTTGGGTTCCAACTTGGGACGGCTGGAAAGAATTGCGCCAATGTGCGACAGAGCGCTGTTGTGTTGCAATTGCGGAGCGACTGTGCGACATCGCCCAGCAAAACACCCCTTACCAAAGCAAGACCGACACCCAAGCATTGCAGACTTTGGCATCCGAAGGGTTCATGTGGCGGAAAGCGCTGTCACACGGCGTGAATAACTGCTTGATCGATTCCCTCATATTGTGCTTGTCGTATGAACACATTTTGCCTCATAACTTGACTGCAGATGTCACAGCCAGGCGACGCGTTGCAGCTGCATGCAGAAAGCATTTGATTCAAGAGATTGGGGACGAAGTGGCTCCAGGCAGCAATGGGCTTTTCCCATTCTTGGATGCGCATCGGGATGGCCCCAAAATTGTAGGTTTTTTGTTCCATTGGTTTCGCGTTGTTGCGCGCACGAATGTGCTACTTCATGTGCATGACAGATTTGGTGAGCACGCTGCAGGTGCAGACGGGAATAAAATTGCAGTGAACCTTGGCCATAGGTACCCACAACAGCCTGTTTTGCAGCTACACATTTATAACCACACGTCTGTTCGGGGTAGAGGGTATCATTTTGATAGCTTGCTCCCGATCACTGGGCGTGAGACCGAACCAAAGAAAAAGAGAAGCCGTACCGTAGCGGCCACCAACGCAATGAAGATAGAAACAGAGTCCATGGCGACAGGATCACAACTCAATGCTCTGCAGCGAGAATCGCAGAGAAGCGGTAGCACACCTGAGAAGCTGAGTTGCAGCAAGGAGGGACTAGAACAGCAAGCAGATCAAAGAGCAGAAACCGTATTTGCAAAGATGGCGTGGTACCTTCATGGCACGACTTTCCCGACATCCTGGCTTGATGCACTGCTAGCAAATTTGATTTTTCACGGATATATGTTACAGTATCCAGATTTGCTTGCGCGTCAGGATGCACGCTTTCACCTATGTAGAACATGCCAGGCAAGTTTAGAACCGAAGCAACTAGAGGGCAACGAAGCCTTCGATTTACAGCATCATCTCGCGAAGGCAGTTTTTTTTTCACAAGTGGGAGCCAAGGTGAGGTGAGTGCTGAGGTACATGTGTACGATTCAACTACCACTGACCTCAGTGTACCGCGCGATGTTTACACCATCGGTCGACTTGACAGCTTGCTGGTGCCAGTCTTCCGCCTCTATCGCTACAAAAACGGCCGTTACGCCGCCTTGTTGCCTGCTAACCCAGCAGAACGGCCTGTGTTCACAAGTGGCGCCTCGCAGACAGCAGCTCAAGGTAGCAAACAAAATGACATGAATGCAACGTGCACTGTCGCGCCGCCGACAAATTCGTTTGGAACAATTGGCTGCGGTGCAGCGACCGATTTGCGCGCACCGCAGATTGAGCAAGTGCGTGAAATCTTACAGCGGTTCTGTGACCACAGAGGCGCAGATGTGCAAGTTGACGAGACAGACGCGCATCGAGTGAGTGATGCTTGGTGGAACTTAGATGCGCTGGGAATAATTTTGCACACCCTTCTGCAGGCAGGGTTAACTTTTGCAGATGCAGGCATGCATCACGCGCGTAGATTAGCAAATCAGTGGCGCGGTTTCTATACTACACAGACGCAAGGTGCTGGGAAACGATTGTCAGATGGTTCAATGGAGACAGCTCAGAAGGAAAATGTCGGTCATAAGACGGCTGCAATAGATGCAGCTGCTACGTATTCTTTGCACAGCACATCAGCCGAGAGACAAGCACCAACTAGTACCAGTGAAGTGAATCTGAGCAGTAATGCGCGAAAACGGAAGGCAACGCAGCAAGATGCAAGTGCAAGCCCACTGCGCAAAACAGAGATGAACGTGCCTCCTCGCCGTGTGCGCCACAAAGCACCGCCGGTCGGATCAACAACAGCACCACCATCCGGAACTGGTTCGCTGCAAGGCGCTAGAACTGACGCAGAAGATATCTATCCTTTGCGGCTCTGGAAGCCATCGCAAGGAAACAGAGACCCTCGGGCAGCGTATGATTTTGCAATGCAAGACGCAACAGCTCTTCTTTCAGACAAGCCTACATTGCCGGAACGCCTGCATGCCGCAACTGACCCTGAGATGGCATATGACTTGCCGGATTACCATTGCGCATTTCGAAGCTGCGGGTTCGAGTGTGCGACACAGGCGGCGCTCGCAGAACACGTTGCTCAGCATCATGCGATTGCGTTACATGACTTGGCATTACGGTGGTCATCACAGGTTGGCCCTCCGCAAGCGACATTCCAGGCATATCAAGACCTGCTAACGCAGCGCTGCCAACAGTCTGGTCCCCTTGCGACCTGTTCTATTGACCGACGCTGTTTGCGGAGATTCCGTTCTAACATGCTGGGTCACCAGGTCGGTACCGCGATCTGCTTCGTGCGCGCGCGTAGGTTCCCATTCGTGGACGGTTTTCCGAACCAACAAATTTCATGGCTACGAGCATACGAGCCACGCACTGGATTGTTCTTCGACCATGTTCCTGAGATGCTCGAAGCTTTGTTGGGGATGAGCACGTATCACGCACGTTATGTGACGACCTTGCCTGCTGATGCGCAACCCGGTTTGCAATCCGAATTGGCGCAGTGGACCTGCACCATCGCTTGCGCCCCATATAATATGAGTGTGCTTGCATGCCCAGAAGATAAAAGATGCATACAGCGTTGTCCGTCGAATCGGCTGTGCACACATTGCGAAATACCTATGTGCACGTCTTGCCGCACCAGGATATATCGACAGAGAATGAAACCGCTAGAGGCACTGAGCAACGACTTGTTCCTGGGGCATCCGCCGAGAGAACTATATGCACAAGAATGCACGATGTTGGAATTATTATGCGCAAGTCCTTGCATGACTGCATTAACTTGTTTCAGCATTGAATGGCGGTATCTCCAAGATCGCAGTCTAGCCCAAGATGCGCTCATGAATCGACATCGTCTGTGTGCAAAGGGCAATGCCACGACATTCCCGCTCCCCTGGGAAGACCTGTTAGCAGAATTCGAGCGTCTAGGAACCCCGGCCACCAAGGCTTCCGTGAATATGCTGCCGCACGTTGGTACGGAACTAAGTGACAAAGTAGCCGTCATCATAAAAATCGGTGACAAGACAGATAAAGAAGCAATACGTCAACAGATTATACACCAGGCCGTGGTTCGTCGCCGGGTCGTTGTAGGGCTGATTGCTGCCATGGTTGCGCGTAGCCATCCGGCATATCAAGGTCTAGATATGGCAGTCGTAGAAACGCGCGCTGAGATGCTTCCCGAGAATGATGTGCCGGCTGAAATCATTGCGTTGCTTGACAACGATGGGAGCCTAGATCAGGTGTTGCGCCAAAAGGCTGCCACACCGGTGAATGATCAAATGACGGCCGAAGAGGCAAGACGAGAATTTGGTCACATGCTGAAACCCAATGCAGTTGTCCTGGAAAAGACAAGTGGTGGATGCCAAGACGTGAATGCTCAACATGTGTCTGCATTGGAGGAGATTGTGGCCCGCGCTGAGCCAGCATCTGCATGGCCTCTGCCCGAAGTGACGTTGTATACGGGGACCAAACTTATGGACCAGTTCCAGCCGCTGTATTTTGCGTTGGCTTTCCCATTCGTCTTCCCGTACGGCATTGGCTTACCCGATGTTCCTAAGTGGAGCCAGCGACAACGGCCACGAAGACACGCAAATGATCCATATGTGGAGTTGAACACGTGGGTGCGCGCCATGGCGCGGCGCATCGAAGCCCAAGTCAGTCGTGACTGGGTTTTTGGCTTTACATCCTGGAATTTGCTTTTTCGATCGGCGCTGAACCTTTCACGCACTACAGACGCCTATTCCCGCACATTCTTTGATGAGGACACCCAAGAATGGGTGCAACCGACAGGGCGCCATGTCGAAACGGCTGCCCAGCAATTGCTCCTTGCTTTGAAAGGTTCCTACATAGATGTCAATGGGCAACCACGGCCCGTCAAGGGTGATGTCGCGAAGCTCCGCTATGTGCAAGGGCTAAAGCCTATGGCCCGAAAACTTTTAAACAACATGCGGCATACAGCCCAAGGCCTGCCTGGGACCCAAGAAGCTCGGAAAAGGATGCGGTTCGAGATTCAAGCCATGCGTATCCGGTACGGAGTGCCGTTGTTTGTGACATTTACGCCAGATGAAGCGCATCAGCTGCTTTTTGTGCGGATGACGCGCGTTCGCTCCTGTGACCCTGTTCGCGCCGCCTCCATAGGGCAAGATTTCCCGGCTGGGGAAATGTTTTTCCCGCATTTGGGCTTGCAGGATGCTGTTGCCATGGGACCTTTCGAGCATGAGTTCACTTTACCGATGTCTTGGGCAGAACGCCGCGAAGTTCTAGCGCGGGATCCGTTGGCTGCCGTGGATGGGTTTCGGGTACTGACGCATTTGATGTTGAAGCATCTCTTCGGCGTTCGTGTGTGTCCATATTGTCCAGATTGCAATGGCTTCAGTGGATTGGAGCCGTGTCAAGACCTTCGCGGCAGCAACGCAGAAGCAAACGGTGGCATATTCGGTCGCGTGGACGCAGTATATATATCCCTCGAAGCTCAGAAGAGCAGCGGGGCGGAACATGGCCACATGCAAGTGTTTGTGCAGTGTTTGCATCAACATACTTCACTAGAGGAAATCTTCCGGCTTTCGCACGACAAGTTGGCTGCGTTGCGCGCAGAATACGAAGCATATAATGCGCATGTGTGTCATGCGAGTTACGTGGGCCAATCGAATGAAGACATGGAAGGCCGCATCGCCGCTGCGGAAGCATCCTGGCCAACGCACGAGCTGGATGTGACGATGACAACGATTCCGACATATCAACTCCGACGTGCCAATGAAACCGATAACGCCCAAAACGAAGCTGCAGACTGGCGACGGCGCTACATGGCAGAAGACGTCGTCCAACTGCAGCTTCTGAAACAGCATCACTACCATCCTTACAATGAAACTAGCCAAGGTCGCGTCCCATTGGCAGGCTGCCAAAAGAGTGACCGGCCAGGGCTGTGTAAGAGTGATTTTCCCCGCACGCAATGGCTGTGTGCGCAACCGACTGTATTATGTCCTTGCAAGTTGAAAACGTACGGGATGCCAAGCGGTGGACGAAAAAATCGCTTAGGAGCTTTGCATGGACCCTGTGGGCATGAGTGGTTAAATGGCTGCGCACCAGCAATGTTGGCAGGACTACGGGGTGCAAATTGCGATGTGCAGGTGCCATACCGGCTTCCATATTCATGTCCAACTTGCGGAGACCAATTGACAGCCGAAGAACGGCAGCAGATGTCATTGGCGGCGCAGCGGGCGCAAGACGCACAAACCGGCTACTGCGCGGATTACTGCTCCAAGGGCCAGCCGATGGGACATGGAGAAATTAGAGAATTCCAAAAAGGACACGAACAGTTGCATGTGCAGCATGCGCGGAAACCATTAGATGACCTAGGCAAGCGACATGCAAACCGATTCCTCAGCGATGCGTATCTCAAAGGCGTGGTGCGAGGACAG